CCCGCCCCCACCCTCACCCCAGACTGCCCCAAGGCTGGGAAGAGAAGGGAACCCTCTTTCTCTAGAACCAAAGATTGGCCTTAGGGGTGGGGACAGCTCCCAAATGGGACCGGGCAGCATAGAGAGAGAGAGAGACCCCTTTGTCTTTCCAACCTATTTTCATAAAATGCAAATTCTCAACAAGCTGTTCATTGTGTGGGGGGGAGCCAAGGGCCAGGGGAGGAGGAGAGGGCTGAGTGAGGAAAGGCCACCAGCCCCCCTCTCTTTAACCTAGGTCTTGCGTTCCCCCTTCTGAGAGCTCGGATCTCCCTCGAGCCAGAGGAAGAGCCCTTGGAGGAAGGGGAGACTCAGAGGGCGGGCGCGGCCCGCATCCTTCCTGCCCTACGGGCGCCTTGCGACCCCTCCCACTGCGTCCGGTCGCGGCTAAAGTTTAGGGAGCGGTGGCCTCGCACTTCGTACCTCAGACGCAGGGCAAGGAGGCAGGCCCCCAGCCCAGGCATCCAAGTGTCCCCTCAGGGGGGCGAGCGATCTCTCCAATGCGGAGCGTCCACCGCCTTCCCTCTCCACCCTAGGCGCTCGGACCTTCCAGTGGTCTGGGCAAGCGGCGAAACCCCAGCCCTTCGCCTCCCGGCTCCAACTGGAAGAGCCCGAGCGAGGAATCCTGGGACCCTCAAGACACCTGGGCACAGGGAGGCGGGGCGCGGGGGCTGCCGGCCAGATGGGCGAGGAGGAGAAGAGGGCGCTGAGGGGTCAGGAGGGAGAGGAGCAGGATGGGGCTGCGGCGTGTGGGGAGCGGAGTGAGAGCCCCAAGACTTGGGTAGCGTGGAGGTGGGGGATGGCCCCGGGTGCAGGAGGCTGCCGCCTTCCGAGGAGAGGGCCGAGGGCACTCAGCAGGTTTCTGAACGTGGCCATGGAGATCAGTGGGCTGGGGAAGAACGAGGGGGATTCGGTGGACTCCGAGTAGAATGTTGTAGGGGTCAGCGGGGGATATTGGGAGTCCGCAGGCACAGGTCGGAGATGTTGCAGGGTTGAGCGGGTCTGGAGAAAGGGGCACCAGGGTACCGAGAGTGGGCGCCGCGGGATTTGGAGAGTGGGGTACTCACCTTTCGGCGAGGCAGGGTGCCCCCGGACACGGCAAGCGCGCGATACAGCTCAGCGGGGTGATAGTCCTCCAGCGCCGCGTACAGCTCGTCCCCGGGGGGCCCAGGGCTGGCGGCAGCGGCAGGGGGACCCCAGGCCGGGGTCCCTGCCGGAGCGACTTCCGAGTCGGGAGCCCGGGTAGCGGGGTCCCGGGCGGCCGCCGCCTCCTCCTTCTGCTGCAGCTTCCTGAGTCGGCGGAGGGTCATGGCTCTGGCGCCCCTCGAAGGCGGCGATAGCTGCTCCGCGCGGAGGGACTGGCAGTGGCTCGGGGATGCCAGCCGGGCGGGTGGCGGGTCGCCTCCTTTTATAGAATCGAAGAGCTGGGCGGACCCGGGAGGGCAAGAGGGGAGCGGCCTCCCGGGGGCCCCGCCCCCAAAGCGACAGGCCCCACCCCCAGAGGGTTGCTACCCGCCGAACCAGGCTGGGGAAAGCCTCAGGGACCCAGCGCTCCAGGAAGGAAAAACCTAGCGGCGGAGGAGGCATCCCTGGACGGTGCCGGGGGCGGGGCGGGGGGTCTCCGTGATATCTGGGGCTGGGGCGCGGGTGTAGGGTGGGGGGTAGTGTCTGTGAAGGGGCTTGTGCGCGAGATTTGGAATTTTGGTAATGGACAGCTTTGGAGACTCGTGTTGGCATCTGGTGGCAGAGGAACAGGTCATTACAGGCAGGTTTGGAGACCCAGGGGAAGATTCTAGGAGATTCTGGGGGCTGCAGGAGACTTTATGCAAGAGAGGAGAGGCAGCGGGGCAGTGCAGGGGGAGGAGGAGGCCCCTGGAGGGAAGAGATGCCCCTGAACTGAATGTGCAGAAGCCCCCAGGGACTGAGAGGGCCCAGGATTTCCCCTTTATACAGCTACCCTAGCAGAGGTGAAAAAGGCTGCCTCTTCTTCCCAAGTCAAGGGGAAAGGGAAGTGGCGGAAACCCAGAAGGCAGTGGGTTTACTGGCCTTTCCCCTCGGAGGGGCAGGAGTGGTCCCTCTGCGAAAACCCTCTCCTCAGCTCCTGATATTGGAGGTCAGATAACCCCTTTCCCAGAAGACAGATTCTTACCATGGGGTCGACTCATGGAGAAGGGGATATACCTGAGCTGAGAAGGTGCTCAGGGTTGGGGGGTGTGCTCAGCCATTCTTTGACCCTGTGTTAGGGCCCATCCCTAAGGCTGTGTTACTGTGGCTGCCAGGCCATGAGAGAGGTGGGGAAGGCCCAGCTGGAGTCTGTCATCAATGGTGCCTGAATAAGAAGTGAGAGGAGGAAGTGGAAGGCCAGGCCATGTGTCTGAAGAGTGGCTAGCCACCACAGGACGTCAGCACCACAACTGAGGGCTCCAAGTCCCGACATCAGCCACTAAACAGAGGCGTGGGATGCACTGTTCCCAACTGTCCCCTCCTCCCATCTTCCCAAATCTGTTATGCCTTTATAGCTAACATTCATTGAGCATTTACCATGTGCTGTGCACACTGTTCTGTGCGCACATTTACATACACTAATTAACTCGTTTGGTCCTCATAACAGTATGAAATAGGTATCATTATCATCCCTTACAGATGAGGAAATTGGGGCCCAGAGAAGTTAAGTAACTTGCTCTAGGCTACTCAGTGGCAGAACTGAGATTCAAACCCAGGCAGCCTGGTTCCAGAGCCTGCAATCTAACAGCATGATGATGTCTTCTTCAGTTCTTCATTCAACCGCATTTAAGCCCTGCTCTGTGCCAGGTTCTGGCTAGGCACTGGGGTTCGAGGCTCTTGGTCTGGTAGGGCGTAGTATATGTACATGTGCTGTATTAGACACCTGGCATGAAGAGTACAGAGGGGCAGGTGGTCACATCCACTTGGGGCAACCAGGAAAGGCTTTCTGTCTCCTGTCTATCTCATTCACTGGTCTCTCTGTTCCCTTGCTTCCTTGTCTCCTTGATTTTCTGTTTGTCTCTTCCCCACCCCCAGTCCCCCAGGGCTCTAGCCCTACAGGAGGTGTGGGTGGGAGGGGGTGCTTCTCCACCCCTCAGTGATTATACAAGTCCAGATGGCAGGATGCTTTGTTGGGTGGGGGCAGGGGGTGGATTGGGGACTGTTGGGAGAGAAGAGCTAATTCCCTCAGTGCTTTTCTCTCCCTCCTCCCACTTCTCCCCTTGGCACCACCAAGTGGCCATCAGCTGAAGGGCCGAGGGGGTGTCGGGTGGGGAAACATGGGACTCTATTGTGAAGCATTAGCACAGATGGACCCCTGGACCGTCTGCTGCCTGCTCCCGACAGACAGCATCTGTGCTGGGGTGGGGTGGGGGTGGGGAGGCGAGCGAAGGCAGGAGACGCACTGGTTTCTATCCTCTTCACTCCCGAGCTGATCCCTGAAGGAACCCACAGAAGAGCATCTTGCACGACCTCTTCTGGGAAGGACCACCACCCTACCTATCCCAGAGGGCTACCTGACGTCTCCTTGCCTGAAACCTGGAGAAGTGGATGCCATGGGTGTCACAGCGCCTGTGTTGAGACATTCCTCCTTCGGGCTGAAGTGGAGGCAGACTTGCCCCCAGTATACAGGTCAGTCTGCCTCCCTGCCTCTACCAGAGAAATGAGGGTCACACAAGTTTCTTCCTGCTGCCAAGCAGAGAGCCCCAGAGTAAGGGTGGGCCCAAGAGATGCAATTTCTGTCAGGCTCACTGCATGATTTCCCCAATTACTGGAATTTCAGAGTTGGAAAGGGCCTTGTGGTCCGGAAGGTTACCTTGTAGTCCAAGCCCTCATTTAACGGAGGAGGCAAACTGAAGCCAGGAAGGGAAAGATGGTGGCAGAATAGGAACTAGAACCCACTAGATCCCAGGTTTCCTGACTCCAGAAACTGTTGAATTCAGCTGCAGGTAGCTCCCCTGAGAGCCCAGAGACCCGTGCCTGATTCCTCCTCCTGCTCTCCCCAATTTCTCCAGGAAGATGTTGGGGAGCCCAGGATGCCATGGGATGGTGATGCCCTCTGGTGGTTATGAGTCTCTTGGTGGAAAATTTTCAAACCAGATTGAACGGCTGGTGCTGGACTCTACCTGGAATCCCAGCTGGTTTACAGATCTCCCACAACTCCTCTCCTATCCCAGAGGGTCTGTGTGCCCTCGACGCCAAGCTCTCCTTTAATCACTGGGTTCTGGAATCGCACACGTGTCACAGTTAGGAGGTTGTGTTCGGATCTCAGCCAGTGCTGCCCTGCTGAAGGTGAAATTCATCAGGAGGGCAGACAGGTGGGCTGCCTCAGTGCTGTGACCTCCACACAGCAGACAGTACATGAGGCCCCTAAAGCTTTGCCTTTTCCAACCCCTTCCATGACTTCCTCCTAAGACTGAATTTCGTCTAGCTTCTGTTTTCCTCATCCTATCTTCTGCAGTTCCTTAAAGCTCAGGAAGGTAGAGGGAGCATGCTGCATGTTGCCAGCAACCTCATACTGGGAGACCTCTCCCTCCTTTCTCCTCCCTCTGGGAAGCCTCCTTGCAAAAGCCCAATGGCTCTGGCTCCTTATACATCTACACTCAGCCTGTACCTTATTCCTGAGAGCAAGTCTCTGCCTTTCAGAATGAGCTCCCCAGGTTTGGCTTCCTTTCGCCTCAGCTGCCCTGGCTCCCAGCTCTCAGAATAGGGCTTGGCCGGTGCTGAAGGCACAGACAGCAGGGGCTCAGATAATGGACCAGGCCAAAGTAAGTCCTCTTCTCTTTGGCACAAGCCCTTGCACAGATACCTAACATTTAGCAGTCTCTCATGGAAGAAATGGGAGAGAGCTGGATCTCACCTCTATCGACCTCGTCAAGCTCTAAGGAAGTTGGGGTACTGGGGGAGAGAGTTCCAGAAGCTCAGGACCCTCTGGAATCTCATTCAATGTCAGAACTCTAGCATAGTAATCTTTATCCCAGAACTGGAAGGAATGACTAGTCTGCCACCCAGGCTCCTCTCTGGGTATTGCAGGGGGAGGTGAGAGGGAGAGGGCCTGGGACTCAGCTGGCTCTCTGGTCAGGAATGAGGGGTTGGGCCCTCAGTTGCATGACACTGAGGGAGGCATGGACAGCCGGTGGGCAGCTGACAGGCAGGGAGTGGTTGTTTTTCTTAATGGCTCCTATTGCTCAATAGTTTCCATGGGATAGTGTCTGTGTGTGGTACTTGGGCCCGCAGGAGCCCAGCAGCAGGGGGAATCCATTACAGCCCAAAGACTTGATTCTAGGGGGTCTGGGAGTAGGAGCAAGGCAGATATGGCAGTTTATTTGTGTTTCATATGGGTGGCCTCTGAGTCTAGTCCCACCTAGAGGCCAGGGATTATCTTGTCTCTTGGGGTGGCAAGGTGTCTTCAGCTAGAACATGTTAGACTGGCAGAAGGAAGGGAGGATTACCTCTCCACCTTTCCTTACAGCATCCACGCACCACTCCTAAGACAGAGGGTATGAATTACTTCACCCTGCCTCATTTCAGAACAGGTACAGATAGCTAGGACAGAAAAATGAAAGCTCTTAGGGCCCTAGACTCCCCAGATCTCCACCCTCTCAGCAAACACAGCTGCTCTAGTGGTTCATCCTTGGTTCCCTCTCCCAGGGGAGGGGCCAGCGTTGTACACAGGGCTAACATTCTCCCGTTTACTCCAAATTGGTCAGCTCCCCTCTAAATTCCCTCACCGTTTGCATTTGCTCACACCCCAAACCTGTGCATTCCACCAACTGTCTCTCCCTTTCTTCTAGCTGCTCCTACTACCACCATTGCAATTGCCTCCTAACGTGAGCACTGTGATGATCCCCAAATTCACAGGATCACATCTCTCCCCTGCTTAAAACCCTGCTTTAAATGGACTATTCCCTACATCAGGAATGACAAAAAGGTTTTATGGGACAACTCCATCCACATAAACATGCTGTTGAGAAAATTTTGGGGACCAAGTCCAGACTCAAGAGGAAAAATGACTGTTAGATGAGCACCATCTGGGTTAGCTGTCACGGGGAACTGATGGCATTGGTGGCCCCCAGGATGAAGCCTTGCCTTCTCAGCACGTGACAGCTCCGACAGACTCCCTCATTGCACCCCTGGCTCCCTTGCTTTAGCCATACTGAATATCTGTGGTTCCTGAATGGTGGCACATTCTTTTTAACTAAAACCCGCTCCTCTCCCCAATCAGCAGGCCAATGGCTACTCCAAAATAGATATCACCTGTCTTGATCCCAACCTCCTGTCTGTGCTGTGTTCCCAGGGCATTCTGTGTCTACCCCTCTCATAGCACCTTTCTCAATCCATTGTAGTTATCTCTTTACTAGTCCATTCCACCAGCTAGGGAACCCCTGGAGGGCAGGGACCCATCCTTTATTTCCCTAGGCACCTCATCTGTGCTTCCATGACATGTTATGTATTGCTCTGTAATGGGACTTGCCAAACTCTGACTTATTGTCCTCTCTGTTCTGAAGAGCAGGGACCAGATTGTTCAACTTTGTGTTCTGCCTACTGCTTTACACACTAAGGTTACTCAATAAACACTTATTATTGAATAATAATCTATTTAGAGCCTAGTCTTTCCAATTGTTTCTTAAATCTTCCTACCCCATTAGCCCCTGTCCTTGGCTTCCAAGGAGCATTCCCTGACAGACCCAGGTCTATATGCCACAGTCCTTAAATCCCATCCACCCTGACCATGGGATGCCCACCAACTTTCAGCTGGGTATGGTGCCAGTTGTTTGGTCAAACACCAATCTGGAGGTTGCTGTGAAGGTATGTTTTAGATGTGATTAACATTTAAATGAGCAGAGTTTGAGGAAAGCAGATTATCCTCCCTAATGTGGATGGGCTGGCTTCATCCAATCAGGTGAAAGCTTTAAAAGACTGAGGTCCCCTGAGGAAGAAGGAATTCCACCTCCAGACTGCCTTCAGACACAAGATGCAACATCAGTTCTTCCCTGGCTCTCTAGCTTGTCAGCCTGATTTCTACTTGCCAGCCCCCACAATTGAGTCAGTTCCTTAAAATATGTCTCTATCCACCCATCTTATTGGTTCTCTTTCTCTGGAGAACCCTAACACACCATTCTTGCCTTGATCCAAAGACTTCTCCCCTCCTGCCACCTTCATCCTGCATCCGTCATATGTTCCTGAGTGTCTCTTGAACACTGTTACTCTCTCTCTTAATTTTGTTTTGGCGGTATTTAGCAAGTGTCTTCCAGACTGCAGAGATCAGAAGACACGGCCTAGGGTGACAGAAATTTAAAATGTGTGAAACAAAAACCCAAGTGATAACACCATTTAGATGAATTCAAGTATCCTGTCATGGGCCTTACAAAGGTGAAACACTGTTAGTAATCTTCAAGCAGAGAGCGACCAGCATGCGGGAAGTATGCGGAACCATAGAGACTGGACACAGGCTAAAGACCCACAGTCTGTAAGCAGACATCCCAAACCCAAGGTCTTTTCCACTCTTGAGCTACATTTATTTGATTTATTAGCAACTTACTTGACTTCTCAAACCCTCAATTTCCTAATCCATAAAGAGAGGATGGTAATGCCCACCTCATACGCTGTTTTAGGATTAAAAGTTAAAATACGTAAAGCAAATTTTGGCACATTGCTTTAGCCCACGGTAAGTTTTTGGTATTTGCTAATATTAACTGAAGAAACTCTAAGCTTTGCCAGATCCATGATAACATGACAGCTGCCTTCAAGTATTTTAAGGGACCTTATATGGAAGAGAGAAAGCGCTCTGAATCGCCTGTGGATAGAAGTCACATGGAGGTTGCCTGGTTCTCCATAGGAGCTTTCTACAGAGCAGAGGGCCAGCAGGTGGAAGTTTGTAGTCTTGAGTGTCGCAGCACAGGCCTGCAACCTTGTGGCAGGAATCCTGCGTGGAGTCAAGTGCCTCGTGGGTGGTAGATTAGGCGACCTCTAGGGTCCCATCTAAACACAAGATTCTAAGATTCTAGGACTTTTATCCCAGTTCCCTCAGCTTTGAGATTGAGAGGCATTCGCAGCTACCCCCCACAATGAAAATACCAGAGGACCCACTGGAGACTCTCATATCAAAGTCACCTAAGCATGCCCAAATTCACATTTATACTCTGACATAGGAGGAAGCAAAAATCGAGGCAAGCAAAAACCTGGATAGTTAGGCTGCCCTTAAGACCAAGTGATTTGTGACTAAGCAGGATCAAGACCCTCTTTTGTATAAAGAGAACAATGCTAAAAGACAAAACAAAGCCCAAGAAAAGGTATTCAGTGTCTTCTGATCCCTCTCACATGCCAGGCCCTCCTCTACGAAACACAGAGGAACAGTCGGAGACCCAACTTGAGCAGATCAGCCCCTCTTCTGATGTGACCTGCTGCGTGTTGACAACACACCCCAGCAGGTGGGAGGGTAGAAACACTACCTTAGAACATCTGCCTGTGCCCAACTCCCCCTGACAACAGCTGGGGGCAGTCCACAGATGGAAAAGAGACAGCACCAGAACAGCTCTGTGAATAAAACTTTAATAATGTACAGCAGAAATTGGACAGGCTCATTCTTATATTAAAACAAAAGATTTCCTATATTACAACTTATTTACATTTGCATACTGAAGAGGTAAAGTGTCTAAGTGGCTATTTTACAGTCCTTTCTAATAAAATGTACAAAAACAAACAGAAGTACCGAGAATGCCGTTCGGGGGCCTTGATGGCGACAATAAGAACGGGCTTGGACTTGGTCTGTGAATCCAGAGGTGCAGGTAGCCCTAAGGATCAGGGTTGGCCTCAGGGCCAAACAGCACGCTTCAGGCTGTAGTTTCTCCCCAACTCTCTAACTCCTGGTGTTGAGTGGTGGGGGTGAAGGTGAGAGCTTCCCAAAAAACTGCTCAGTCTTCCCCTGGAGGAGCTGGACTTGTCCGTGGTGAGGACAGGAGGGCCACCTGGGGAGTGGCTAGTGGCTTGGGAATCCCTGGGTTGAGGAGTGTTGGCAGATCCCAGAGGCTGGTTGTGAAAGGGACACAGGAGTCTAATTCCTGTTACCACCTAGAACCCGCCAGGTTCTGCTGCAGGGTGGAGAGGTGGGGGGTCCACAGGGGTGGAGAAAGAAGGTCCCCCTGATGACAATTGGTATTCAAGGGAAAGTAATCAGTAGCCAGTAAATTGGCCCAAAAGGTTAGGGGAAGATCTCCTTTAACACAAGGAAAGAGGCAATACATCAGGAAAATAAATAGGAAGGCCAGGGCATAGGGGAAACATGTAAGCAGGGAGAGGGCTCTCCCCCTCCTCCACAAGCTTTGGCAGAGAATCGCTGGGCTGGAGGCAGGGGTGCTCTGAGGCTGCATCCATAACATGCTCCCCTGGGGGCAGGAGGGGGCTCAGAATGAATGCAGTGATTGGGCTCTCATGCCCACCACCGGTCTCTTTGGTGTGTAGGAGGGGCATCCTTGCTCCTTGGTGGTCTTCTATAAGAGCAATCATTCCAGGCTCAAAAGGCTCTCAGAACCAACTACTGTATGAAAACTTCTGGTTTCAAAACAGGCATCCACTAACTTGGATCAGCTCCTTCTTCAGTGCTCCAAGAGTAGGACCCAAGCCTGTCTTGTTCACAGCTGCACTGGCAGTGCCTGGCGCGACGCCGGGCACCCAGCAGGCACTCAACAAACATTTGTTGAATAAATGCCTGGGGGAGGAGAAGGTGCAACCAGCTGGACAATGCACAAAAAGCTGGGGCCCCAGCACAAAAACCGCTTATAGAATAGGCAGGGTCGGGGGACAAAGCTCAAGAGAGACTAACTCCCGGGGCAAGGAGGAACTCTCACTGCTGGGTGGGAACAGGCTCAGGTATAAGGACAGACATTTCCAGTGTGATTGAGCTATGTGCGTATGATTGAAGCATTTTTGTGTGTGTGTGGTTATTTTTGTAGGGATTTCTTTAAAAACAAATAGATTGAGAGGTAATCATCACATAGAGATGGTTTTCCTTTTATAAAAACTTAATATTAAAAAAAGTTAAAATCCAGACCCTCCCAATAAAATTAAAAACAAAACAAAACAAAACAAAAACCTAAAACCACTCCAGTTAAAAGTTATGGCTTCAAAGTTATTATATACCTAAGATATGCTGACCAAACCACCACCCACAACCGTGCTTCTAGACATCGTTAAATACTACACTCAGGTTAAATATCAGGTTCAGCTCAGGCTGTTCCCTTTAGAAGGGCCCCTGAAGTGGGTGCAAGCCTTATATCTTCCCTCCACCGTAATCAGATAATCCAGTAAAAGACCCATGCAGATGCCTCCCTCCCACCCCTATTCCCTCCCCATTCTTTGCCCCCCTTTCCTTTCCCCACCCTAAACCTACCACCAAAAATATACACTGCTGTTTCCAGAATCTGGGATGTGAAAGACAGATGTGACATTCCAATCTGAGTCCCAAGATCTGGGCTTCAAATTCCTTGGGCCTTCCTTGATGTTGCCGAGTCTGATGCCCTGGGCTGGCTCATTTCCCACGGTTGCCACTGACTACAACACCCGAGACTTCCACTAAGATGCTTTCCCTGCCCGCCCTACCCCTCCTTCACATTTGGACCCAAAAGCCTCGCCTGCCATGGACAACTGGGCCAGCTTTGGTTCCGGTCTGAAATGGAGAGGGAGAGCTGTGCTGACATAAGGTGGGCAGAGCAGCCTGCTGGGAAGGGAGGACAACCGTGGCTCAGGGTTCCAGGGAGTGGGGGAAGAAAGGGAGACCTCCGAGAAGGGCACCAGGACACAAGACACTGCTCACTACTGAACAGAGGCACCAGCACGCAGAGACGGCATGACAACCACACCCCTGACCTGCACATGCACCAAAAGCTCAAGCAGGGAAGTACGCACCTATAGACACACACATACACACATACACACACATACATACACACACACACACACACACACACACACGTTTAAGGGCATGGCACGAACCAGGCACAACAGAGGACGCACCTCGGCACATGCACACACGGCTGGACAGACAGGCGGCAGATTTTGCCTCCACTGGCAGTCCCTCCAGATGTCCGTGCGAGGGCGGAGCACGGGGCCCACAGCTGCCTGTGAGAGGGGCTGCACTTCTGGTTCCTCTGGGCCATCTCGATGGGCTGGAGTTGCTCCCTGGAGGAAAATCCTCAGTGCTACCTAGCACTGGCAACATTCGGCTTCGCCTGGGCCCTCCCAGGCTTCCCCGGCACCACTCCTGGCTATCGGCCAGATGCACTGGGTTTTGCGGGACTTCCCGCTACAACCAGTTTGAGTTGTGGCACTGAGTTCTCCATACCATTCGCTCTCAGAGTCTCCATGCCATCAGGAGGTAAATATAAAAGGTGTCTGTGTCTCAAACCCAACGTGAGAGTGAGCAGGTCTCCTGGGCTCTGTCCCTCTTGCAGGCCAGGGCTTCTGACCAGAGGGCTGGGCAGAAACGAGAGGTAGGCCTCCATCGTACGCTCAACATGGCAGCTCTGTGTATAGTCCTTGCTGCGCAGGGTTGTTGTGTAGGGGGAGTGGAACAGGGTTAGATCTTCACATCTTCCTGCACGCTGAGCTGGGAAAGGGTCTTCTTAATACGCAGAGCAGTCAGGCGGGCCGCGCCGTTGGCATACCAACACTCCCGCATCATCTTCCCCATCACTCGTAACGCCTGCACAGAGACCAGAGGGTGTCAATTTGACCCTGCCCTGTGGAAGCCTTTCTGGTCCCTAGGCTCTTCCTCATTTCTCAGTGCAGTCCATCAAAATCTCCTCTCCCCCTAGGAAAATGCTCTGCAACATACTTCTCCCCTTGGCGCACCCTTCCTTAAGGGACAGGTTGTGCAGGCAAAAGGAGAAAGCTGCATCCTGAAGAGGGGAGACCCTCTCTGCAAGAACAGTCGGCCATTCCCCATCATCTGGGTAATCTTGAAAGAAATATCCACAACAGACTGCGATCTGAAAATCATTTGTCAGGTTTGACTGTTTACTCATTGTTCTTTTAAAAAAGCAGCATATGAACCAGGGATACACCTTGGCAGGTGCACACACTGGCTGTAATCCCACGGTTCGTATGCAGAGATTGGGGGAGGGGCATGGTGAAGAAGTAGGAAAGCAGCCCCTGAAAGCCTGAAAGCATCTTGTCAGGGGCAGAACGCTACACTGCCATTGCCAGGACGACATAGGCGACCACTATGGTAGGGCCAAGAGGTGACATGGAAGGTCACCTATGGACTGTGCTGATTGTTGAGGGCTATAAAGTTCCTCAATTGCTGCCCTAGGCCGGTGGTTTTCAAAATTCTGTGTAACAGTGGAACCTATTTGTCTAAGTTGAATCCCAACATGTAAACAGCACTGACTGAAGAGGGAGTGGGGGAGGGCAGTAAAACCAGCTCTTCCAGTTTCGCACTCACTCTCTGAAGTATACCTAACCTGGGGATTCCCAGGAACATTTTGGAAAGTGCTGCTCTACTAAGCAATGAGAAGGCATCACCTAAAATGTGAACTAAGTAGTTTTGCTCTTCAATGCAGAAACGCCCTCTAGTGGTTATACTCCTTAAAAGCAGAGCCCTGAGGGAAAAGGAGGCCCACATGCACTTAGCCAGGCAAACCCTCAAGACTTTAAGAACAATGTTTATTAGGAACCTGTATCATAAATTAGTCCTCATATCAACTCTTTCTACCAAATGTTGTCCCCTTCCCACTTCATCTGCCATCTCTTCCAAATTCAAATTCTCTCCCCTCTCCTCTCTTCTGAGTTGTTAGAAAGGCCACCTCTCTCACAGACATGTTCTCACTAAGTCCAGTCCCTTATTCTATACCCTTCATGGAGGCTTCTTCTTCACTCAGCCATAGTGCTTGGCTCACCCTTGTGGCTCCACAGCCACTTTTCTAGTTAGACAGGTCTATTTGCTCCTGCTCGCTTTTTGTTTCTGTCTCTTGCCCACCTCTCTCATCTGTGCCTGGAGACCAACTCTTTTTCTTCCACTAGTCTGTCCATTCCAAAGGAGACCAGACAGTGCCCAGGACAAGGGACTGTGGCCCCTCAGGGCTTAGTGTGTAACAGCACATAGTGGTATATCATAAGTGACACTCGGCAGTACCCTTGGAGTTGGACCTACTGTCAAGTAAGATAGAGAAATCAGGCAAATGGAAAAGCAGCCCAGGCAGGGGGAGCTTCCTACCTCATAACTCTGCCACCAGTTGGGGATGTTGGGACGTAGCTTCTGGTCGCAAACGACCTTTCGCATTTCCTCAATAGAAGGGTCAGAGGGCACTAAGTCATAATATGGCAGCTGATATTCTTCATGGACTCCTAGGAGAAAAAAAAGTTCACCTGAGTTGCCAATAGAAGGAAGAGATTACTCAAAAGCCAGTGAGAACCACCACACTGTGATCTGCAAATACTACTTCCCACTAAGAGGATCTAGGGCTCTCTGGAGAGCTTGGCTGATCTGGATATAGAGCAAGAAGTACACGAGATTAGCCAGGGACATCTTTTTCATACCAAAACACAAGAAAACTATCAAAGACTACTGAGGTTAAGTCAAAAGGCACTAACTTGAAAAGCTGCCAACTAGCCAGAGATGAGAATATTTAAGCAACAGTAAGACTAACTAATAACTTCAATGAAAATATTTAAAACCCACCAGTTCATAATGATACTAAACAACATCAACAACAAAGAAACCCCCAAAACCTCAGTCACTTTTGTAGGATAACAGTGAACAAACTCATTATTTTGAAAAATGGTAAATAAATAAAAGTCAAGTATTTTTCCTGTCTTTCTTATTTAAATTATACATCTTGGTAACCAGAGACAATTAAGGATAAGTTTCTCTTCCAAATCTAGCTAATACATGAAGATTGACAGAATCATAATATTGGCATTTTTCAATCTTAATAAATTTGGATTTGGACAATGATCATCGATGGCTGTTAACTTCACAAAGAAAGAGAACATTATGCACCTTGTAACAGAAGGATTTTTTGGGGGGTGGGTGGGAATATATATACTAGTCTTAAATCTAACTATTATAGGAAACAAGAGAACATATGAACTCCATGAAAAGGCAATCAGCAAAACCTAGACAGGAAAACTTTATAAGACAAATGACTGGATTCTCCAATTAAAAACCGTGGAAGAAAAAAATGGAGGTGAAACTTACAGATTATGAGACTTAAGAGGTACATCAATCAACTGCAATGGATGAACATTATTTGAACTCTGATTCAAACAAACTGTTTTTAAAAAATTTAGGAAAAAATTGGGGAACTCTTAACACTGATGTTAAATGACATCAAGAATTAATGTTCATTTTTTAGTGTGATACGAGTATATTTTTGAGGTCCTTATCTTTTAGACCTACCAAACTGAAATATTTTCCATAATAAAAAGTTAATTTAAAAAATCCAGTATAGCTTTCTCATGGCCTTTTCCAGGAAAAACTTGAGCTAATAGGAGAGATTTTTAAACAGAATCTGACTTAGTAATTATCTAAGGGGTAGTTAAGAGCTTAAGCTCTGGCCTCAGTCTGCCAAAATTTGAATCCTAGTTTCATTAGCTGTGTGACCTTGGACGAACTACCTAATCTCTCTGTGATAAATTTTCTTCAACTGCAAAATGGTGACAGTTATAGAACCCACTTTCCGGGTATAAGTTTGTAACAAAGATTAAATAAGTTTATATATAACAAGTGGTGTTAGCATTATTAATATACACTTAGCCTAAATTTATAATTGATATGAGGAAGAAAAAAATTAACTCATTCAGTTTAAGACCTGTGTGACCAGATTTTTTAAAATCTGTTCTTATATAATGATCAAAATTTAAGATGTATAATTCCATGAATAATACCTGGGTGCCCTCTCCCTAAGTTGGGTCTTTCCAAAAATACCATAAATGGAAAAAGGCAATAATACAGAAAAGGGTTCTGCTGGAAGACTAACCAGTTCTTTTTAATTAATTTAATTTACTCACCTTCCACTGACATGGAATCACTTACATCTAAGATAAATGGCTGAGGGCAGGGTTCTTGAACTTGATCACGTGGCAGAATACTTGAAAGTCATTGTAAAATACTGATGTACTAAGCTGATGAAAAAAAATGTTTTCTGCTATATCTGATACTACCTTTCACTGGATTCTGACATGGATGAGCAATTGCAAATTTGGAATTAAATCTTTGGAAGATTTAAGAAAAAAAATACAGGAGAAAAAAGCTCATTTTGAGAAAATTCTATGCATTAAGCTTTCTCCTAAAAATTGAGAAATTACCACTATTATCCTATCAAGGAAACCCTATGTTCCCCAGGAATGTAGCTTGAGAGCCAGTATGTTAGCATATACTGCCTCCTATGTAAAGGAGACTCCTGTATTAGTCCTGTGCTATTCCCACTCAGGCTTTCTCAACCTCCACAAACCAATAAAAACAATGTGTTAAAAAAAAAAGCCAACTGAACCTCCAAAATGGTTATCGCAATGTACAACACTATTTTAGAAACTGGTCTAAAGAGTAAACACACCCTTTGCATAACTGCCTCCAAGGTTCCCTTATCTTTGATGAGAACCCTAAGTGTCATGTGCTCTGACACTAGGCATCCAACAGGTTGTAAAAAGAAAGAAGGCAGTAGAACACCAACACCCTCGGTAATCCAGCATCCTGAACTGGGAGGCAGGAGCAAGAGAAGGCAGAAAAGAAAGGTACCTCCAGAATTGCATCTTCGGGCAATCTCCCAATATACAAGTCCAAGGGCATAGATATCAGCACATTTAAAGGAGTCAAAGTGCTTCATGTTAATGGTTTCATCAAGTACTTCAGGGGCCATGTATCTACAACAGCAAAAGAAACATGATCATGCACAGAAAAAGATGACTTCTCTACTTATTGATTCAGAGGCCCTCTGAATAGTGGCAAGCATCACCCCAAGACAGCCCCTTGGCGAGGAGGAAGAGATCAATTCTCTTTGTTGCAACTCCCATGTGTTTTGGATTTGAATCTAAATACTTCAGAGTAAGTTTGATGATACTAGGCTACTCTTATTTGTATTGCTACTTTTTAACCATCAAGATTTACTTTTAGCATGTTTTGATTTCTTGGCAAAGGTACTTGTACTGTGGGCCATAGGGCAGTTAGTAGTACATAAAATCTGATTGCTACAAAGGTCTTGGACTTTGTTAAATGTAACCACAGGAATGGGCTGACATTAAATGTCCTTCTGCACTTCTGTTATCTAACCTGATTACAGATATGTGAAAATTCATTCCAGATAGTCATCAATGTACCCCTCAGCTAATTAGTACTACTCTAGCCACTCCCCTCCACATATACAGTAAGGAAAATTAGGGGATCACCTCCGGCCTCACACTTTGGGGCCTAGGTCATTCATTCAGGTCAAAGGGAAAAAACACGATTCAGTGAAATGCACTGAGATTCAGCAGAAAAACAGACCTCCTGTTCCATCCTATTAAAAGACAATTCCATTCACAACTCATGAAGTCAATCTGCAATCACAATTCCTTAGTCCTTATTTCACTTCTGTATGAAGCGGGAAGCAGGCCTATAATCCTGGGGGTGCCCTAATCTCCACTCTAGATTACCTCTGCTCTGGCTTGGCAAACCTGCTCTCTAAACCCCAAGCAAAACATGCTTCCTGCCTCCCCGGGGGTCTCTACACAAGCCATCCCTTTGGACAGCAACATTTCCCTCTTCCCACAGGCAAGTCCGGTGCCTATGCGCCCTCCAAATCTTGTTCCAGATTCTCTTTCTCTGCTGCTCTCCACTACCCAACACCACCAACAACTATGTGTATACAGTTCTATGGAGCTGTGCTCTTGGCACTTATATCTGTTAGATGTAACCGTGTAGCTTTCCAGTGTGGGGAGTGGGTGTTCTACTTTCTGCTGTCTGAGAGCAAGGATTACACCTCTTTTTTCTACACCT